TATTTTGATGTCCAAAGAAGAAAAGGGTAACCTGTTTAGTGAGGGACACTTATGCATTACACCACAAAGTACACTCAGTTTTCAGCTACTTGGTCCATTTTTGAATGCAGCTTTCAGCCTTTCCTTTCCCTTTGGGCTGTTGAAAACCTTGCTAAATCAGCTTTCTGTCAAGCTCCTTGGTGCAGTGCCCATCCAGAACGCTCTGGCTGGGACACACTCCACCACCCTTGTCCTCTCATCACACCTTTTGGGTGCATCTTCTAGCTCCCCTTTCTCATTGATTCAAATCTGTGCTGAAGAGGACTTCCAAGAGGCCTTGGAAGATACATTCAAAAGGAAGAAACCAAGGCCAAATACTATGTCTGGAAACCGTGGCACCACAATGCAAAGCAAAAGGTAGCAATACGTCCCATCAAATGATCTGATAAATTACTTCACCGACTAGCATAACACCACAGCTATATACATATACGGGTCTGCTCCTCTCCCTGTCTAGAACTGTGTGGGGATTTGAACTCCTGCATCCTTCTATAAATGCATAAATGCCAGCTGTCAACCACAGTGACACAGAGAGCTGGAGAATGAGGAGTCATGACCCGCCAAATTCCTTGTGTAAGTGAAGGCTGGGATATATACAGTGGAAATCAGTTGGAAGGAGCATTCGTGCTGGAAGAACTTGGCTGGGGAAGAGCGAGAGCTTGCAGGAAATGTGGTGCCCCCAAGAGTTTTCAGGATGGTATTCACTGGGGCTGTGACTTGGGCACTTTCCAAACATCTGCAGTGCCTGCAGCACGTGCTGAAATGAGGTGCTCTGGCCTGAGGAGTCCTGTTGGGAAGTAACTTCAGGAACAGGCTCAAAGGTCAGTGTTGGCTCAAAATTTAGAGATGAGCACATAAACATAGGACAGGGTTCACAGGACAAACTCATTACAGGTATGGTGCAACCTGATCTAAGTTACTCTAGTGCTCTGTAGGACCCCACTTGCTTCAGCTGTGATATCTGTGGAACAATATCCACAATGAATGGCAAAGCAGCAGGTAATCAGCAACTGCCTATATTGCATTGCTTTCTACTTATTTATAGGGAAATTCACATGCATAAAATAAACAAGATTTTTTTAGAGACCATGGAGGTTGAGGCAAGGCAGAACCTTGCAGAAGGAAAATAGTCATTGCTAGTGAGCATTTTACAGTCCAAAATGTTACAGGGGACTTTTTAAATTAGAGACTGAACTGGCAGAGGTAGGAGATGCCTTCTGCATGTCCTCTACACAGCTCATGATGATGCATCCTGTAGAGATGAAGCAATAAAAATTCTGTATTATCTAAAAAGTAGTTGGCAAAACTAAGATAGCACATGGCAAACAGCAAATAAACAAATAAAGTCTCACCTAAACACACCACGGA